CTCATCAAAAAACACTAAAGTAATACCTCGAAAAAGTTGTCTCTAATGTAGTGAGCCATCCCTTTCAAACATGTCTCAATGGCTTTAGGGAACTGTGAAGTGTTCTTCAGCAGGTCCAAGTCCACCCCGAAAGCAACCTGAGATTTATCAAGGAAAAACACAAATATGAGGAAATATTATTTGGATAAAGACCGCTGTAAAAGCTGTAAAACTGACTGTAATATAAAACCTTAGTAATAACATCCAGGGTAACATAGTTGACAAGCTGGAGCATATTAGCTTCTGTTTTACTGTCGGCAACATCTGCAAGTTTATCCATCAGTTTCTCTGCCCTCTCATTGAAGGTTCCCATCAGACCTCTCAGATACCTGGAAGTAATGATAGCTTTAGCCGGAGGAGCCAGAACCTGCCAACAAACTACCACAGAAATTCATTTGGAAAAAAATCAGTGGTTGAACAAACAAACTCTTTTGTCTTTTTGTGATAACTGTGAAACTCACAGGCTGCTGAATGCAGGGTCCATGATCCGGCGCTGTTTGTACCACTGCTCATGATCCCGTGCTGTTGCCAGGCCGTTGCCTAAGAGCCTTCAAAGAAGACAGTTGACAAAATACGTTATTTTATTCCTCTGAGTTTTAGTTACTGTTAGTTTTGCTTACTGTTGGCATTCAGGTTGCATCTAATCTAAATGTTCCTATCTGGTCCTCCTATAGTTTTAAGCTGTGCGTGCCATCTGCTGTCTTCTCTTATTATCCTGTGAGTATATATTATCTCTGTCTCCCTTTGTTCATTGCCACGTTGCCCCTCTTCCCTCATGGTTGCGTATTACCTTATTCTGTGTTTCCCAGAAAATTCCTAGTGTTTGGATTCCTCGTTCCTGCCCAGTTATTGTTTGAGATTTTATGATTATTTTTGCTAGATTTGAGTTTATGTTCTGTCTCCTGAATCCACATCCTGCCTGCCATACAGCGAATACATGACAGAACGACGCGATCCTGATGGACTCACCGAGCTTTCTCAGACTGCCTCCACAGTGAGGGAAAAAGGCTACTTAAGTATGTGATAAAGTATTAGTACGTCATTGATTCCCATCTCTGCAGTACAGTCAGTGTTGGGGAGTAAAGGAATACATGTACCGCTGTTACGTATTTAAAACATAAAATATGAGTAACTGTATTCGGTTACAGTTACTGTTTATAAGGGTGGTATTTAGAATACAGTTACTTTGTTGAAATAAAGGGATTACACGGCGGTCTTTTCCTGTTTCATATGTTCGGCTCTGCCCTCTCTATTTTTGGTAATTCCACACCGGTGGAAACAAACAAAACACGCATTAAGAGGCTCAGTGTCTCAATCTCGCGTCTCATAATGACGTGAAGAAATATTCAAAAAATGATTTAATATGAAGGCAATAGCAGAGTGTTACAGGCATCGCCCTAAAGCATGTAGCCTCATGGGCAGTGTAGTCCGTGCTGCAGGGAGAATGGACTGCCATACCCGTTATGTGTCTGTGAGCGAGGGAGGGAGAAAAAGGGGAGTGGAAAAGTACGAGCTGTCATCGAGCAGAAACGGGAGCTGCAAGCATGTAAATATAATAATAACCACTTCAGCCAAACAGAGAGCCTGACGAGCCCAGTTGTAAGTAAGCTGTTAAGACTCGACTGTACGCTGTGTTCCTGTTTTCCTCCGAAACCATTAGTTTGGTTGCAGCAGCCTTTCAACGCCTCTCTCTGTCTCTCGCTACCAAAGTTGACCCAGACAACAAAGTAAAGCTAGTTTTTGGCTACGAGCCCGACACGAACCCGACGTATTAGCCAGAGGTCCTTTACTACGGTTCAGAGCCACAGACCTGTTTTATATACGCGCTGAATAGTTTTCTATACGAGATCGCTGCAAACAGTGCAGCCTTACCTAATGTCCACCTACTGTTACTCATTTATATTAAGATTTAAACATCTAGCTGGTGTTGGTATGGAGAGTAGCCTTCAGTAATAGTAATAAATCACAGCAATAGGACATTCATTAGTTGTTAAAAAGCATGATAATATATTAAGTAATCCAAAGTATATTACTTATATATTAAGCAATTACAAAATACATTTTGGGGCATGTATTCTGTAATCTGTAGTGGAATACATTTCAAAAGTAACCTTCCCAACACTGAGTACAGTGGTGGTCTGTATTATACCTGTGAGTCTTAATCTTAGTCCAGGTGTTAAACAAATAAGAGTATTGCAAAGCTCACTCCACCTCTAAATATTGGTAAATGAATGCAAAGTATCACACTGGTATCTACTGATATCTGCCTTTGTTGATCGATTCCAGCCAGTAACTGAAGTTAAAACGATATCAGTAACAGCACAGCCTTTTAGAACTGGTGCATCGCTACAAAAAAGCGCCTGATAAGGCAGTCTTACCTTTGACCAAACAGGTTGGCAAGTCTCTTATAAACAAGTTTATCTTTGGGGTATTTTGGGGACATCAATATTTGCTGAAGCCAGGAGCAGAAAGACAGAAAAAATTTTTTTAGAGAAAGAAGATTTGATACGAATATTATCAGGAGTTATGCTTAGTGAAACCAAAATGTCAGTAGTTCACACTTTGAAGTTAAGGGCAGGATTTGTGCCAAGCACTTTCACACACTCAGCGGCGGTCCTAGCCTGTTTGGCGCCCTGGGCGAACGGATGATCTGATATCGTCGCGTTGTTGTTCCTGGAACAGCATAGTAAATGTTGTTCCAGGATCAACATTGCAAGTGACCAATCACATTCTTGTGACGTTATTCTTTGGCGCGCCAAGCCATTCGTGCATTTATGAAATTCCAATGTTCCAAGGACAATATCAATTCTGCTTAGCGTTTATTTAAGGGTCAGGGTCCGTTGATCGGCGGACAGAGGCGGTTTCTCGCAGCTTAGGTACAGTTTTTTGTTTTACGGCAGTTTTTCCCGAAGTCGCAAAAGTATGACGTCACAAAATTCTGATTGGTCACTTGCAATGTTGATCCTGGAGCAACACCAACACGACGATATCAGATCGTGCCTGGGCGAACACTCCCTCTGGCGCCCCCTCTGGCGGAATTATAAAGTGGAATTGTAAATCGCTTTGAGGGTCTCAAAAAGCGCTATATGAAAGCAATCCATTATTATTTAAACCAACTGTTAACTGTATATTTCTGTACATTTAAGTATTATTATTCATATTGCCGCATTCATTGGCCTTATAGGTAATTTCATTGTTTAATCACATTAAAATGTTCCTAATTTAATGTTTAACAGCACTTGAAAAAGGCAAAATCCCATGTAAAATTAGGGCAACAAACTGTATTGTCATTACTGAAAATAACCGTATTTTCATGAGAAAGTTATTTTCTGTTATTTTGTGGTATTATTTTGGCGCCCCAGCAAATGGGCGACATAAAACCGATCGGTGCCTATTCCCAATACGCGCTGGCATGATGTCGGGGCAGCATGAATACGAGCAATTTGTTTTTATTTTTTGCCGATGCCCGTGATGCCCCCCCCACCCGGACCCATGTCGCCCGTATCAAAAACCGCTACTGCACACACTCATGCTGTTGTCACAGTTTACCTTTGTTGCCTCGGGACAGGACACACACACTACAGCGTAATGCAGAGCATATATCTTGTAGACAGGCCCATACTCATCCGCCCTGTAAAAGACATACTACCGTATAAATGATACGTTTTATCATTATTTATTAATCACTCCTACACACAACCATCGTTTACGTTCAAATTACCACTCCAGAAGTTTCTGGTGCATATTTCCGCCATTTTTCATTATCCTCAAAAGCGATGCTGAGTGTCCGAAGAGAAAACTGGGGAAGAAATCAAGTGGTCAGCGTCGAGCAGTGTCAGCAAAAGTGCCGAGAACTTTACCTACCTGTCCGTCGGTGGGCCGGGTATGTGGTCATATTTCATATGAATGTGTTTAACATACAAGCAGTATCCGAGAAACACAACGACGAGCAGAAAGAAGAGAAAAGTTAGCGTCTGAGCAGCCAAAGACAGAAGTAAGCTGAAAACTGCCATCCTGAGAAATATCCCGTAGACGTCTGCGTCAAAGATGGTTGTCCTTTCTATAACACCGCGAAGGATCCCTGGTTGAAGACCGAGGGGAGACACAAAACAAGCCTCAGTGAGGTCACAAGCTGGTTTACCCCAGTGGCGTCGTTCTAAACTCGCATTAACGGGAGATCCGTGGCTGTGGAAAAACAAGGGAGCAGCTCCAAATACCGACCGCACACAGCCAGATCTAATCAGGCGGAAGTTCGATATAGCGTACTTCAGAGAAGAGAGCCCACGGAGACGCACTGAATGTCACAGCTTTCGCGCTGTTATTTTGCGAACATTGTGAACAAGTGCAAAAACCCTCTACAATTTAAAAAGGCTACTGCTGGGATTTATTAAACAGGCGCAGTTTCGATTTTGCGACATAAAGGAGTGGGCCCGGGTATTTTTTTCGGCTTTGTATTTCATATGTGTTTGCAGAAGTTGTGCTTTCAGAACGCAATATTTTGGGAAGAGAAAGGCGTCTAATTGAAGCTGAATTTCAGGCCAATAGAGGGCTTTGAGCTGGCGCACACACTTGGTAAATCTGCCTCTAAGCATCATCTTTAGTAAATAAAATGCATTCCACCTTAAAAGCTGTCGGCACCTGCAGGTTTATTAATTACTTAAGGTTAAGAGTTCAGAGTCCCGGAACACTCTGCTTTGTTCATATTAACATTATATTCACGTCTTCTTCATCAAGAACACAAGAAACAAGATAAAAGCAAATAAAATGCATTCATTTCATCTTATAGTGCGAGGCGTTTATTTATCTCAGCAGATGAAGATGTCTGACCTCTTCACTTTTCGTTTGACAGCCAATAAACTCATCATCCACCAGTCTTTCATCACGACTTCTGAACCTCTCCCGCTGTGAAATTTCGTACCTTACGCCGTTTATGCAAACTTTCTGGATTTGTTTCAAATTAAAAGCGCTCACCAGACAGTAATAGAGCTTTTCTTAACTGGGCTCTTATTCTGAAACATTAGTAGGAACCTCTTGTGAAAAACTAAACCGTTAAGAAAAATGGCACATAGGATGTGTGCCTCTGAGTTTCACTCTCTAATAACAGTTTGTTAATTCATGTTATTACTGTATACAGTTTGTCTGAGGTAGAGAAAGGGGGCAACTCCTCAAAACAGACATTGTATTTCAGTTTTATTTCATTTACACAAAAGTCATGTTTAAATGAGTGCTGCAAGCAGTGGCTATGAAAAAGCAACTGCAATACATTTTGCAGTTCTCTCCATATTTTGCTTACATGGAGCCTGATTTTCCTTTAATTATTTAAAGTGGTATTAATCATTCAAGCATACAATAGGCACTTAACTCAAGTGATGAATCAGTGATGTGTCTGCACATAACAGACAGCTTTGAAAGTGTCTTTTATATTTAGGAAAATTGTTACTAACAGAAAAGAAATGACAAGAAAGGTGCCTAAGAGTCAGTGCACTTAGTTCCTATGTTTTAAGGAAAATAAAAGAAATTAGCTTTGCACAGTATGTGTCTGTGTATATTTATATGTGTGTGTATATGTGTGTGCATACATACAGTAGCAAATGGTATTGATCCTAGCTTCCTCAAAAATGTTTCCATAATAATAATAATAGATTATTCCAGTGAAGACATAAAAATAGTTATAAGCATTTCATATGAATATATTGCGTGTATTACGATCATACATGAGACTATTTTCATTACAAGGATTTCTTTAAAAAATCAGTTTTCAGACAAGAGTAAAAACTCTGCCCCACCATATAGATACCTATGACCTGTTCCAATGTGAAGTCCGTTAAGATCATTTATTTTTGTAATCCCTGTGACCCAAAGTGCACAACACTCCACTCTTTGGTCTGAGTGTGCCAGCATCCAGGATGTCAAAGGTCTGTTCTGGGACGAGAGTGAAGTCAAACCTCTGGAGCAGTTTGGCCATCACCACTTTAGCCTCCATCTAAAAAACACAACAGCGCCCACAGAGATGAGTCCGTGTGTTTATAGGTGAGCGGGTCTTCACATTATTTAGCCATCCTCACCTGAGCAAAGTTCTTTCCCAGGCACGCACGAGGACCGAGGGAAAAAGGGTAGTAGCAGTAATAAGGCCTTGTTGAACAGACAAGAGAGCCTCAGTTACTTTGAACAATTTAACTCATTTTATCTGAGATAATAATGGGTGTGCAAACATTATTATGTAAAACATGTCAGCATGGTGAAACAGTGTGTTCTTTACTTGGGAGCATCTGGGTGAAATCTGTCTGGATCAAATTTCAGTGGATCCTCGAAGAATTTGTCCAGTCTCCCGCTCACATAGGAGTTGAACTAAACATTAGAAAATATGATGTTTATACAGAAGTGTATTTCCTGCTTTGCTAGAAACACATCAAAAAATACATGTCTCACTAAAGCATTTATTCCTCCAGGTATGTGCACACACACACACACACACACACACACACACACACACACACACACACACATACACACACACACACACGACAGAAGGTATTAAAACATATTTAAAATCTTCACAACTTACAA